GAAAGGTGAAACGCCATGCAACCTCTGAAGAATACACTAACACAACACTTGTACCTCCTATTAGACTGTTTTTACTGGAACTTCTTTACGACGGCTTATAAAGCTGAGGAAAGTGTCCTGAAATATATTATTAATAGGAACGTTATCCCAACAGACAAAATCAGAAGATACAATTGACAATGTATTACAAAAACAAGAAAACGGCCAACCTACTCATGAAGAGCTCTCCAGACACCAAACAGAATGCCTTGGACGAAATCAACGTTGTCTATGCTTCACATGCCCACTTGGGGACTGTCAGCCCCAAAGATCTCAGTATATATGTAAGACAACAACGTCTCTTTCTAGGCGATTAACAATGCACAAATAACAGGGCTCCATCAAGAAACATATAATCTCCTAACCCAACGAGACCATCATCAGAGAAATCTTTTCAAACAACACAGAAATCATTGATAGATACAACGATAACAGGAATCTCGACATCAGTGAAGCCCTACTCATCGAAAAGTCAACACCAGCTATCAACAGCCAATTAACACATAACTATATTCTACCCACTTCAAGATCCTAAGCCAACATAGAAATAGCAGGAGCAATATAGCAATATAGAAGCAGCAAATATGATTGATTCATGTTTTGTCTTTTGTCTCCTCACCCAAAAACATTTATGTCATATCACCTCACCCAAAAACGAATATAAGCATGAAATGATGTGTGTAAAAATTTGTCTTTGAAAATGTGAGAAGTCCTTGCAAAACACTTTTAGGCGTCAGACCTTAAATAAATATGTGAAAATGAACTTTAGAGTTAATTTTTCAATTACCCCTGACAATGAAGAAAAATGTAAGAAATATTGAAAAGATTCGTGTTAGAAGCATTAATCTTATCCTTTTGGGCATATTCAATAACATATATATATATATATATATATATATATATATATATATATATATATATATATATATATATAGTGTAACAAATACTTGCATTTGTTAATATATATTATGTATTATACACTGCAGGGCCGAACAGAGCGATGTTGCTGACATTGAATTAAGGAGAAACAGCCGCCAGAAGCACGGACGCGGCCACCAAGGACGCGGACACAAACACGGACACGGTCAGGGACACGGACACGGACACGGACACGGTCAGGGATACGGACATCATCATAGACACACAACCAGGAGGACTACTAAAACCACCACTCCAACCACTACTAGAACAACTACCACAACTCCAACCACTACTAGAAGAATTACCACAACTCCAACCACTACTAGAACCACTACCACAACTCCAACCACTACTAGCACAACGACCACCACTCCAACCACTACTAGCACAACGACCACCACTCCAACCACTACTAGCACAACGACCACCACTCCAACCACTACTAGCACAACGACCACCACTCCAACCACTACTAGCACAACGACCACCACTCCAACCACTACTAGCACAACGACCACCACTCCAACCACTACTAGCCCAACTACCACCACCACCGCCACTACTACCACAACGACCACCACCACAGCTGCACCAGATACCACCACAGCTGCACCAGATACCACCACAGCTGCACCAGATACCACCACAGCTGCACCAGATACCACCACAGCTGCACCAGATACCACCACAGCTGCACCAGATACCACCACAGCTGCACCAGATACCACCACAGCTGCACCAGATACTACCACAGCTGCACCAGATACTACCACAGCTGCACCAGATACTACCACAGCTGCACCAGATACAACCACAGCTGCACCAGATACCACCACAGCTGCACCAGATACCACCACAGCTGCACCAGATACTACCACAGCTGCACCAGATACTACCACGGCTGCACCAGATACTACCACAGCTGCACCAGATACCACCACAGCTGCACCAGATACCACCACAGCTGCACCAGATACCACCACAGCTGCACCAGATACCACCACAGCTGCACCATAGATACTACCACAGCTGCACCAGATACTACCACAGCTGCACCAGATACCACCACAGGTGGACCATAGATACTACCACAGCTGCACCAGATACTACCACAGCTGCACCAGATACTACCACAGCTGCACCAGATACCACCACAGGTGGACCATAGATACTACCACAGCTGCACCATAGATACCACCACAGCTGCACCAGATACTACCACAGCTGCACCATAGATATTACCACAGCTGCACCAGATACCACCACCGCTGCACCAGATACCACCACAGCTGCCGCAGCTGTGGAGGAATAGTGCCTCAGAAAATTTAAAAAAATCAGTGTCAGAGTTGTTAACAAATGGTGGGCATTAAGCAGTGATGTGGTGGAGGCTGACTCCATACACAGTTTCAAATGTAGATATGATAGAGCCCAATAGGCTCAGGAACCTGTACACCAGGTGATTGATGATTGAGAGCCGGGAACAAAGAGCCAAAGCTTAATCCGCCGCAAGCAAAACTAGGTGAGTACAACTACTATCACCACTACTCCATCTACCACCACCACTACCCCAACTACCACCACCACTATCCCAACTACCACCGTATAGACCATTGATTGAGAAACGACACGTGTTTGGATTTTCGTAATACGACCATCGTAGCACAGAGAGCACCTGCTTACTTTTATTAAAGATATTGTATATGTTATCTTTACATCTTTCGTAACAGAAAAACCAACAAGATAGATGCAAGAGGGTTGATGACAGATTCATAACAAAAACATGAAGCCAAAAGAAACTTAAAAGTGGTACAAATAAAATATACAGAACAAAGAATATGAACAGACAGAAACACAGCCAGGACCAGCAGCAAGAACATGAATGGTAGCTAAGGTAAACACCTAAAAGAAGAACAACAACAATGGGTAACATAAAAATAAAAGAATCTATTTAAATAGCAAAAACACACACGAATAAAATGAACGACAACACCATCAAGAACTAAACAAGGATAAGAAAGGAGTAATAAAAAATAACAAATTAAAATGTATAAAACAAGAACGAAACAAATATAATATCAACACAAAACAACAAAGCAAGCAACACCCCTAACATCAACAAAGCAACAACATCAGTAATGGTTACAGTGATTATGTTTTAAAACAAATTATCCCAATTACTTTTGTAATAATGTCAAGTGAAGAATACTTGCAGATAAATTCAGTTCTATTCACTTACTAATAATATTATATTTAGGAACAAAATGCACTATCAGCTTACAGTAGTTACCTAGTGGGTAGAATATTTGTATATTTTACCACACGTCAAATTACATGCAACGTTTCGGTCATTAATATATCTTGAAGTTGTGTTTCTGAGTTAAAATAAATAGAAGCTGCCTCGTAAGGGCCAATAGGTCTTCTGCAGAGACCGTCATTCTTATCTTCTTATGTTCTATGTTCTTCTTCTTATATGTAATAAGTTTTGAGGAGAGAATCATGTTCAAATAACATGTAACAAAAGATTGTTGAGATGACGAGAGGCTCCTTATATTTTTAAAGTGATACGAAGAATTTTTGTAAAGTGACATGATGATATTGTCCACATGACTGGAAGCACATTATTGTTAATTGGTGAAGGGAATTATTGTTTAAATAACATGAAGAATAATATTGTTCAGATTTCAGGCATTTTACTGCTGTACTTGTTAATAATTTGGAATAATAAAGATTAATATACTGTATGGTATAGACTGAATTAATTCCAATTCTGTATTCCACGAATAACAATGGCGTTCCGTTGATCATTACAACTCGTCTAGTAGAATGTATACTTGTCTACCATTTTCGTGTTTGTATATACATACATCATACATCTTCTAAATGGTATGCCTCAGCTCACTTTGAAGTATTCTAATGTCATCAAAACAAAACGTAATGTATCCAGTACGCTGAACTAGTCATCATATGAAACAACGTAATTACAGAGAGCTTGACCCCTGTGACACCTTGTATTATCTCATCCATCTTGGTTATGTACTCGCTTGTTCAAGTCAACTTGTTCATATAAAAACTTTAACAAAGAAAACTTTAAAAACTTCAAAGACTTTTTGGTAGACAATGAAGATGCAGTCCAACTGCCCTTTCCCCTTGACTCTTTATTGTCTTGTCATCCAGGACTTTTCCTCAACAAATCAAAATTGTAGGTTTCATTAATCTTCTAATATGTGTAATATTGCCTTATGGATTATATCTGTTTAAGAAATTCTTGTGTAAGGGGCTGATGACTGTGTTCTTTTGTGAAAATCGGAATAACATTATTAGTTGAATAACTTTCCGGTCTATTTCTTCTTTCCTTGGATGCATTGAAGAGTATCATGAGAGATAAACGTAATGCGTCTTGCTGACCCTAAAGTGGGATGCTGTCTCTTCCTGCTGCTGCCTTTGTTACAGTTAAATATTTATATACTTAAGTTTGTTTCCCTCTGTGGTCACTGTGTGTTCTCAAGTCTCACACTCGGATCTCTTTCGTGGCCTTCGTCTGGTAATTAAAGTTCGAATACTTTATTGATATCTGTGTTTGTGTTCTGTCAAGATCTTTGTCACCTGAATTATGATCTCCTCCTTCTATGTTCAGCATTGTTACTGTATCGTTCACCGAGAGATTTCTCCTAATATACTGCAACTGTGTAGGGTCTTTAATTCTCGTTACATTCACACATGGGTTCTCAATATCCATTCTTGTTTTAATGAAATTGTTTTAAACTTTACCGCAGTTTCTTCAACTTTTCTTCTCTCACAAATCATTGTTATATATCAAAATTTTGATGCAAAATATAAGTTTTCAACAGACAGAAAATATTTTTCCCTCTTTACCTGTTAATTTATGTTAGTCGCAGTTATGATGCACTTCAGCCCGCGTATTCAAACTTATTCTAATGGCTGTTCTAATGACAGCTTCCTTTGAATCTCCACATAAAGACGTTGGTGATGGATAGTTCTGCATGGATCAATAGTAGACCACAGCGAAGCAAAAGAGACACACGTGGCCCCATTTAGCTGTCGTTTGATATAAAATATGCAACTGCAATAAAATATTGAACTGCAAATGTGGCTAATAAAAACATGCACGACTGTCTCAATAGCAGAAATTGCGACATAAATTTGATACTTCTGTGTCTCTTGCAGTCAATGTAAGATCAAGGGCCATTAATCACACACGTGGAGGCTAGATCGTTGGACTGTATATAACTGTTCCCCTCTCGGACCTGTGTCATTCCCACCTTCTACCAGCCCGCTGCCTTCAACTAGCCTGCTGCTCTCTACTGTCATCTCACCTTCACTAAACTTCAACATGAGGTGCGTGTTCTGGCTGTGATAAACTGTCCAATTGGAAGCTCATATGTTCTTTGCTATTCATGTGCAAAACTTGAGAGTAGTTATTCTAAGATGAACTCTGCTAGATGTATTCTAAATTTCCGACGCCATTTAACTGATATGCCTTTTTGCGTTTTATTTGTGCAAACAACATAATTTACGTTTTGTTCAAACCAGGGTTTCTCTAATTTACTGATTTCCTTAAAACTAAATAGTTGTATTAAACATTAATATAAGACCTCAAGAGACAGGCAGTGTTATGGAGATGAAAAGTCACAATAAAGTGGCTGAAAAATGTTGACCAAACCACACACTAGAAATTGAAGAGACGACGACGGTTTGATCCCTCCTGGACCATTCTCAAGTCGATTGTCAATCGACTTGATAATGGTCGTGGACTGACCGAAACGTCTTCGTCTCTTGAATTTCTAGTGTGTGGTTTGGTCCACAGTGTCATGAACTTCTTTTTTGTCGTCTATAAACATCCAACAGAATCATAATACTTATAGCGACTGTTAGACAAGAGATTAAAGTATAAATTGTGCCATAAAACTAACAACATTTTATACAAATGGTGTTACAAAGGACATTTCAGCAGTAACACAGTAACCTAACCTTCCATTCACCTGGGTTCTAGGAGATTCGAACCGTGGACACCCCAAGTGTGAAGTCGAAGCTGCGACAAAAATTTGATAGTTCGAAGACCGAACTATTGATACCGAGCTCGATACCGAACTGAAAAACGTGGTCGTATTACGTTCATTACAGTCCCCTTTTATTTCATAATGCAGTACAGTGGTTAAGTAAGTTTTCGAGGATTGGTCGATAGTTCCATGTAAATTAATAGTTCATTGTCAAATCACCAAATCTTCAAGTGCGTGAATTGACAAAATCATCAATTCAACTCTAGACATTCCTGTATGATAACCATTACTTTTTTGGTGATAACCAGAGCCATTTTGTATTGCCTAGAGCTGATGTTTACGATGTTATCGTTGTAAATGAGTACGCTGAGAGCTTCCTCAGCCATGATAGCATTGCTATTACCTTAATTTAGTTTATATATGTCACAACTATAAACTTCCTGAGTCTATCTGATGTGGAGGGATTTGTGTAGTTGCGAAAAGTGTCTCATTCTGATAACTATAATCCATCTCATTGTCATTATCATCCACGTAATTGTCAACCCCCATCATCAACACCATCAATTAATATTACCTCACTCGGAGCCGGATCTGTTTACGGGCCCCCCCATCCTCTAGTCAGTCAGGGAATTAAACAGCTATAACACCATCTTGATGGGGCCCCTTGGTGTTTGTGGACCCCCCTCGTGTTAGTGAACACCCCTATCTCCCTTGGTGTTAGTGGATCCCCCCTGGTGTTAATGTGTTTTAAGCCATGACATACTTGACCTATTAGGTAAGGTTGCCTTGACCTCACTATCAACAAACCTGCCTTCACCAAACATTCTTATCAGCGTCGTTTTAACTATTTTACCTCTCACTCTTTTTTTTCTCACCTCTCCCCCTCAGGTACAAATTCGTGCTGCTGGGTCTTTTGGCCTTCGTATGTGCCACTTCAGGCTACGTTCTGAAGGACCAGGACGATGCACTTGGCGACACCGACGACCGTCCAGAACGGGTCGTCTTCGAAGACGACGATGGGGACAGGTACGAAAACTTTTGAATAAACTGCTAAAAGAAAACTGAAGTTCTCCCCTATTGTTTTGCTCTCTTTTTTTTTGTCTCAAAGATGAACCATCTTACACCTGGCGTGTTCTTATTGATCAATATCGTAAGAATTGTTCGTCTTAGCAGTTCACAAAAACTTATCCTAGTCATCAGCCAGCCCCACGATGCACAATTGTTCACTGTTTTCTTTAGGTGTTGTTGTTGGTAGCACGGGCTATGGTGAGCCCGTAGTTTTTCTTTAGTTGCTGTACTAATGTGTCCTGTTGAGAGAACATTCAGAGAGAATACATACTGTACTTGTAATTTATGGTCATATGATTGTGACCCTGAAAAGTTCCTTAGATAGCAATCGAGTCTGTTGCTTATCCAGGAATATAACCCAGTGACGAAAATGAGAACGCAATGATATTTCCGTTTTCCAGTCAAGATCTAAATTAATGAACAAACTTCAATCTCGTATCTTTCTTAACGGGGTTCTAATGGTTCGGGATCTTGAAGTGGGTAAAATATAGTAATGTATTAATTGGCTGTTGATTGCTGGTGTTGACTTATTTTTATGTGTAGGGCCTCGTGGATGTCGAGTCTCCTGCTATCGTTGTGGACGAAACAATCAGGATGATGATGGACAGAGTGTAACGTGATCCGACTTGTATTCCTCTTGACATACCAGAGAGCATACAGAGAAAGTTACTCCAAGCCTTCACTAAAGAGGCACCCTTCTTGAGTCCCGATGGGCGCATGTATAAGCAAGTAGATAGGATCGCCTTGGGTTCTCCCCTAGGTGTCATGTTTGCGAACTTCTAGATGAGCACCATAGAGCAGAGGGTTTTAGTTGACATGGACATGAAACCCGCCATATACTGCAGGTATGTTGACAACACTTTTATGCAGGTATCAGATGTCAGATGTCTGTAGCAGCTGAAAGAGGTATTCGAGCAAAATTCGGTGTTAATTTTCACTTACGACATGGAGAGCGATGGGAAGCTGCCCTTTCTAGGTGTAACAGTCACAGAAAGGAATGGTGTCTTCCACACTGCAGTCTACACTAAGGAAACAAACATAGGAATGGGCCTTAATGACAATAATGTCTGCCTAGACTGGTACAAGAGGAGTGTTGTCAACGCTTACGTCGACAGAGCTCTTACTCACAGCTCTGGTTGGAAGCAAGTCGATGAAGAACTCTGCAGTGTAAGGCAGGTCATAGTCAACAATAACTTCATTAACGGTTATGTTGAAGACGTCATAAAAAGAAAGGTGAAACGCCATGCAACCTCTGAAGAATACACTAACACAACACTTGTACCTCCTATTAGACTGTTTTTACTGGAACTTCTTTACGACGGCTTATAAAGCTGAGGAAAGTGTCCTGAAATATATTATTAATAGGAACGTTATCCCAACAGACAAAATCAGAAGATACAATTGACAATGTATTACAAAAACAAGAAAACGGCCAACCTACTCATGAAGAGCTCTCCAGACACCAAACAGAATGCCTTGGACGAAATCAACGTTGTCTATGCTTCACATGCCCACTTGGGGACTGTCAGCCCCAAAGATCTCAGTATATATGTAAGACAACAACGTCTCTTTCTAGGCGATTAACAATGCACAAATAACAGGGCTCCATCAAGAAACATATAATCTCCTAACCCAACGAGACCATCATCAGAGAAATCTTTTCAAACAACACAGAAATCATTGATAGATACAACGATAACAGGAATCTCGACATCAGTGAAGCCCTACTCATCGAAAAGTCAACACCAGCTATCAACAGCCAATTAACACATAACTATATTCTACCCACTTCAAGATCCTAAGCCAACATAGAAATAGCAGGAGCAATATAGCAATATAGAAGCAGCAAATATGATTGATTCATGTTTTGTCTTTTGTCTCCTCACCCAAAAACATTTATGTCATATCACCTCACCCAAAAACGAATATAAGCATGAAATGATGTGTGTAAAAATTTGTCTTTGAAAATGTGAGAAGTCCTTGCAAAACACTTTTAGGCGTCAGACCTTAAATAAATATGTGAAAATGAACTTTAGAGTTAATTTTTCAATTACCCCTGACAATGAAGAAAAATGTAAGAAATATTGAAAAGATTCGTGTTAGAAGCATTAATCTTATCCTTTTGGGCATATTCAATAACATATATATATATATATATATATATATATATATATATATATATATATATATATATATATATATATATATATATATATATAGTGTAACAAATACTTGCATTTGTTAATATATATTATGTATTATACACTGCAGGGCCGAACAGAGCGATGTTGCTGACATTGAATTAAGGAGAAACAGCCGCCAGAAGCACGGACGCGGCCACCAAGGACGCGGACACAAACACGGACACGGTCAGGGACACGGACACGGTCAGGGACACGGACATCATCATAGACACACAACCAGGAGGACTACTAAAACCACCACTCCAACCACTACTAGAACAACTACCACAACTCCAACCACTACTAGAAGAATTACCACAACTCCAACCACTACTAGAACCACTACCACAACTCCAACCACTACTAGCACAACGACCACCACTCCAACCACTACTAGCACAACGACCACCACTCCAACCACTACTAGCACAACGACCACCACTCCAACCACTACTAGCACAACGACCACCACTCCAACCACTACTAGCACAACGACCACCACTCCAACCACTACTAGCACAACGACCACCACTCCAACCACTACTAGCCCAACTACCACCACCACCGCCACTACTACCACAACGACCACCACCACAGCTGCACCAGATAACACCACAGCTGCACCAGATACCACCACAGCTGCACCAGATACCACCACAGCTGCACCAGATACCACCACAGCTGCACCAGATACCACCACAGCTGCACCAGATACCACCACAGCTGCACCAGATACTACCACAGCTGCACCAGATACTACCACAGCTGCACCAGATACTACCACAGCTGCACCAGATACAACCACAGCTGCACCAGATACCACCACAGCTGCACCAGATACCACCACAGCTGCACCAGATACTACCACAGCTGCACCAGATACTACCACGGCTGCACCAGATACTACCACAGCTGCACCAGATACCACCACAGCTGCACCAGATACCACCACAGCTGCACCAGATACCACCACAGCTGCACCAGATACCACCACAGCTGCACCATAGATACTACCACAGCTGCACCAGATACTACCACAGCTGCACCAGATACCACCACAGGTGGACCATAGATACTACCACAGCTGCACCAGATACTACCACAGCTGCACCAGATACTACCACAGCTGCACCAGATACCACCACAGGTGGACCATAGATACTACCACAGCTGCACCATAGATACCACCACAGCTGCACCAGATACTACCACAGCTGCACCATAGATATTACCACAGCTGCACCAGATACCACCACCGCTGCACCAGATACCACCACAGCTGCCGCAGCTGTGGAGGAATAGTGCCTCAGAAAATTTTAAAAAATCAGTGTCAGAGTTGTTAACAAATGGTGGGCATTAAGCAGTGATGTGGTGGAGGCTGACTCCATACACAGTTTCAAATGTAGATATGATAGAGCCCAATAGGCTCAGGAACCTGTACACCAGGTGATTGATGATTGAGAGCCGGGAACAAAGAGCCAAAGCTTAATCCGCCGCAAGCAAAACTAGGTGAGTACAACTACTATCACCACTACTCCATCTACCACCACCACTACCCCAACTACCACCACCACTATCCCAACTACCACCGTATAGACCATTGATTGAGAAACGACACGTGTTTGGATTTTCGTAATACGACCATCGTAGCACAGAGAGCACCTGCTTACTTTTATTAAAGATATTGTATATGTTATCTTTACATCTTTCGTAACAGAAATAACAACAAGATAGAAGCAAGAGGGTTGATGACAGATTCATAACAAAAACATGAAGCCAAAAGAAACTTAAAAGTGGTACAAATAAAATATACAGAACAAAGAATATGAACAGACAGAAACACAGCCAGGACCAGCAGCAAGAATATGAATGGTAGCTTAGGTAAACACCTAAAAGAAGAACAACAACAATGGGTAACATAAAAATAAAAGAATCTATTTAAATAGCAAAAACACACACGAATAAAATGAACGTCAACACCATCAAGAACTAAACAAGGATAAGAAAGGAGTAATAAAAAATAACAAATTAAAATGTATAAAACAAGAACGAAACAAATATAATATCAACACAAAACAACAAAGCAAGCAACACCCCCTAACATCAACAAAGCAACAACATCAGTAATGGTTACAGTTATAATGTTTTAAAACAAATTATCCCAATTACTTTTGTAATAATGTCAAGTGAAGAATACTTGCAGATAAATTCAGTTCTATTCACTTACTAATAATATTATATTTAGGAACAAAATGCACTATCAGCTTACAGTAGTTACCTAGTGGGTAGAATATTTGTATATTTTACCACACGTCAAATTACATGCAACGTTTCGGTCATTAATATATCTTGAAGTTGTGTTTCTGAGTTAAAATAAATAGAAGCTGCCTCGTAAGGGCCAATAGGTCTTCTGCAGAGACCGTCATTCTTATCTTCTAATGTTCTATGTTCTTCTTCTTATATGTAATAAGTTTTGAGGAGAGAATCATGTTCAAATAACATGTAACAAAAGATTGTTGAGATGACGAGAGGCTCCTTATATTTTTAAAGTGACACGAAGAATTTGTGTAAAGTGACATGATGATATTGTCCACTTGACTGGAAGCACATTATTGTTAAAGGTGAAGGGAATTATTTAAATAACATGAATAATATTGTTCAAATGATTTCAGGCATTTTACTGCTGTATTTGTTAATAATTTGGAATAATAAAGATTAATTTACTGAATGGTATGGACTGAATTAATTTCAATCCTGGATTCCACGTACAATAATGGCGTTACTTTGATCATTAGAACTCGCCTAGTAGAATGTAAACTAGTCTACCATCTTAGTGTTTGTATATACAAATCATATATTTTCTAAATGGTATACCTGAGCTCACTTTGATGTATTCTAAGGTTATCAAAACAAAACGTATTGCATCCAGTACACTGGACCAGTCATCATGTGAAACAACGTAAATACAGAGAGCTTATTGACCCCTGTGACACATTGTATCACCTCATCCATCATGGTTATGTACTCCTTTTTCAAGTTAACTTGTTCATATAAAAAAAATTAACACAAAACGGTAACAAGGAATTTTGGACTTTCCTTATTAAGACTACTCATAGCCCAGTCGATAGAGCTTCGGCCTCAAATGCATTGGGTCTACGGTTCAAGATTCCTACAGCCCAGGTGAACAGAATAAATTTTGGAGTTTGTTTTAACCTTCCTTCTCTACTGAAGCTCATAATATGTATTTATAAATAAGGTTCGTGCTGGAATCATTGGTCTAGCTCTTTCTGTCACATTCAGGAATATCTATCAAAAGTATATTTCTCAGCACGAGGGTTGTGGCCAGACGCTTGCAGCAGGACTCACCAAACTCTTCAGGGTGACTGGTCTTTATCCTGGGATGGTCATAGGCTGGTCAGGTTCAAGCCCCATTTACTTATGCTGAAAAGGGCAAATCCTAATAATTTCCAGTCTCGCTATGTAAAAAGACTCCATCCTCACTAAGATGCTACAGAATGAAGGGAAAGTGGTGAAGAGTAGGGAAGGTGGTGAATCTTTCTGTCTATCTATCTATCCACCTATCCTCTAACTATCCACCTATCAATCTATTTATACAGCTATTCACTCATCAATATATGCATCTATCTTTCTATCCATACATTTATCTATCCATCTATCATCTGTATCTGTATATATTTCTATATATATTTCTATAAATCCCTCTATTTGTACATCAATCTATCCGTCTCTACATCCAATTATGTATTAATCTATCCATCTATCAATTCATCTATCCATCTATTAATTGATCTATCTATTTACCCAATCATCTATCAAGCCTTCTAACCATCAATCTTGCTATCCATGGATTCATCAATCGTGCTGTCTACAAATGCTAACAACACCACCAACGCTCCTGAAATAGCTTCTACCACCAATCCACGACACCTGAGCCTACTTCAGGCTGTGAGACGAAAGACAAAACCACCAACTACAGAGGTTTCAGACTCTTCAGACGAGGAAATCTTAGTAGGAGCTGCACCGCCTCACCACAAACACGACACCTACTCGGTACAAGACCTCCTCATGGAGGCCACATTACCAAACTCCAACAACAGCTCGGCTCAGCCAAAGAAAAAACAGAAAATCTATTGTTTCGGATTTCGGAAGACCGATTGTTTCGTGTTCTGTGTTGTGTTTGTCACCTCACCCAATACTTTTGTGCCATATCACCTCACCCAAAACAAATATAAGTACGATGAATTTTTATGTGTAAAATAAGCCTTTGAAAATGTAATAAGAATTACGAAACGCGTTCAGGCGTCAGACCATAAATAAAAAAGAATTTTGGAGAATTGACATTTTAATTACCATCGACAGTGCAGAAAAACAGAAAAAACATAAGAAATATTGAGAAAATTCTTGTTAGAATTATTAATCTTACCTTTTCGGTCATATTCAACAACATGTATATTATATATATACAGTATATATATATATATATATATATATATATATATATATATATATATATATATATATATATATATATATATATATATATATATGGTCCCCAGGATTATATGCAACTGATATATATATATATATATATATATATATATATATATATATATATATATATATATATATATATATATATATATATATATATATACACACACACACTGACATTTGCTGTTTGAATAGTAGAATTATTACCTCTCAATGACGCAGGTACTGCAAATGGTGCACTCGTGCTTATTTTTATTAAAATAACCCTACGTGTAATGCTTCTATAATTTGGCATTAACGAATTTTGTGTGTAGCTTTGTGCCTATCAGTTTGTTCTCATTGTTATGATTGCTCATATATTATACAGAATTATCCAGCAATATCCTCTTTGTGACAAGAGGATATTATATATATATATATATATATATATATATATATATATATATATATATATATATATATATATATATATATAACTTTTTTACACTCAACCCACCAGGAGACTCGAACCCTGGCCCACAGAGTGGCAGGTACACACTGTATCCATTGCACCTGTACCTGCCACTCTGTGGGCCAGGGTTCGAGTCTCCTGGTGGGTTGAGTGTTATAAAGTTATAAACTTCAGCTTGCGAGTTATATAGGCAAGTCTGTGCATATATATATATATATATATATATATATATATATATATATATATATATATATATATATATATATATATCAGTTCCATATAGTCCTGGGTACCATTCAGGAATGTTCGCATTTGTGTTCCTCACGTGCGCCCCAAAGAATGAGGTGATTTGATAAAATGCTATGCCCAAGATTACCATCCGGGTGCCGACGGGCGGGGGGGGGGGGGGGTTCAAATAGCTTCGGCTATCACCTCATGTCCGGTCGTGATGGTCAAGCGTATTAAGGCGTCCTGTACATACCAGTTGCGTTGCTCCTGGCAGTATGGGTTCGAGTCACTTCTGGGGTGTGAGTTTTCAGTTGCATATAGTCCTGGGAACCATTCAGGCTTGTTCGCATATATATATATATATATATATATATATATATATATATATATATATATATATATATATATATATATATATATATGTTTTTTCAGATTTATGCAGATTCTTGTCACAAAGAGGACATTGCTGGATAATTCTGTATGATATATGAACAATCATCAACCTGATCAACCAGGCTTTGACTCATACGTCAGGCTGCGAGCAGCCGCGTCCAACAGCCTGGTTGATCAGTCCGGCAACCAGGAGGCCTGGTCGACGACCGGGCCGCGTGGACGCTAAGCCCCGGAAGCACCTCAAGGTAACCTCAAGGTAGGTAATCATAACAGTGAGAACAAACTGATAGACACAAAGCTACATACAAATTTCGTTAATGCCAAATTATAGAAGCATTACACGTAGGGATATTTTAATAACAAATAAACACGAGTGCACCATTTGCAGTACCTGCGTCATTGGAAGGTAATAAGTCTACTATTCCAGCAGCAAATGTCAGTTCAAGATAAAATGTATCACCAAAATACATACGTGGAGGCTTGGATGGGCAGTATATAACTGGGTTCTTCTCCGAGCTGTATCATTCCAACCCTGGCCCAGCTTACTGTTCTCTAGTGTTATCTCATCACCAGTAAACTCCAACATGAGGTGAGTTTTCTGACTGAGGCTCAGTTGACCTACAGATAATCTTGATGTACTCAGATGTTCTAAATTAAGCTTCAAACTACTTATTATAAGCTGAGCTGCAGTAATTTTGCTAAAAATTGATAATGTATTTTTTTTTACTGCTATGGCACCATTTATTTTATTTGCTATGGCAAATTTTTTTTTATTGTTGGTGTAAATAGTTAGGATCAGTTAGGTTTTCAATTCGTTTTTCTGATATAATAATGTTTTTCATATCCATATGCTTTCATACATGAACTTATCAAACAGTCAGTTTATGAACAAATATATAAATGCTTAAAACAAATGTTCAACATATGAACTGTGTTCACATTTTGTAATAGGATGAGAATAATAATAATGAACCCAATTATCATAATCTCTCATAGACTTAATACAAGCAATCTTACACTAAATATGTAGAAATTGAGGTGTAATGAAGAATATATTAGTATTCCGGACTAGGAGTGGATGGGCTATTACACTGCAAACTTTACAAAACTTTCTGCACATGAACGCCACAGTTTTTATATCATTTCAAACGACACGTTAATATACAGACGACTCTCACACCTCTTCCCCACAGCTACAGCTTCGTGTTATCATGTTTCTCACTTCTCCTCTTACCTCTCCCCCACAGGTACAGCTTCGTGTTATCATATCTCTCACCCTCTCCTCTCACCTCTCCCCCACAGGTACAGCTTCGTGCTACTAGGTCTCCTGGCCTTGGTGTGTGCCACTTCAGGCTACGTCCTGGAGGACCAGGACGACGCTCTCAGCGACACGGACGACCTTCCAGTAGGGGTCGTCTTAGAAGACGAAAACAGGTACCAAAACTTGGGGATATCCTGTTCACTGAATCATTTCATTCTTGTTCTTATTTCCATATGAAAAGTATTTTAATCTAGAAGTTATTAAACAGCACTAAGACTTTCAGTGATCAATGACATAAGTTTTGGAAGGTACGCTTTCCATTTTAACTTCTCCCACGACCAGGGAGCCGGTCGGCCGAGCGGACAGCACGCTGGACTTGTGATCCTGTGGTCCCGGGTTCGATCCCGGGCGCCGGCTAGAAACAATGGGCAGAGTTTCTTTCACCCTATGCCCCTGTTACCTAGCAGTAAAATAGGTACCTGGGTGTTAGTCAGCTGTCACGGGCTGCTTCCTGGGGGTGGAGGCCTGGTCGAGGACCGGGCCGCGGGGACACTAAAGCCCCGAAATCATCTCAAGATAACCTCAAGAAGATAACCATATCTTGTCAACGTAGCTTGGTAAATATGTGAATCATTTATCATATGTTTTAATATGTTGAAATGTTTTGACTTGACACGGTTGCAAGTCTGTAGACACAGTGCATCAGAAAGTTGTTCGTCTCAACATTAAAACTCCTGGTTTTTAGTGAAGTGTTGTAGTTCGTCTGATATTACTAGTAAAGCTGTGCATTATTATTTTCTGTTGTTACTGCTCTTGATGGTTGTTGGTCGCAGGAAGATGCGAACAGAATACTCACTTTTCATATTTTTGGGCACAAACGTCCAATGCAGTTTCGTAGAGTCAATGTCTATTGGCTGTTTATTCTGAAAGAAATCACTCTATGCTGTCTTCGAGTTCCAGCTGAGAGTGATCTTGTGGGACTGCAGTACTGGCGGTGTCTTCCTTGACAGTTTGGATGGACGGGGGAAAGAAGATTATGTCATCACACATTTGACAGCTTTGATATCCAATGATTAGAAATGCATTGCTTTTCTGGGGAGGGGAGGGGGGGGGGGGGGGGGAGGAAGCGCCGATGTTGATTTTAGCTTCTTGTTAGCAATATTTGATTGGAAAGCTTTGCTTTTTCTGTGACCATCTGTAATATATATATATATATATATATATATATATATATATATATATATATATATATATATATATATATATATGTGTGTGTGTTCTTTTTGTATATTGCTGTCATCATCGATGCCGTTTGCATCAAGACAATTATAATTTTTCTAATTTAATTTTTCCTCTTAAGTCTGCTATCCATTCTCTCTCTCTCTCTTGACTTCCTCTGTCCAGACGAGTTCTTTACCGGCCCTTGTGGCGGTAAATGGAATCTTCAGCATATATCATTATAAGATGTAAGGTCCCCCCTCTTTTATTTTTTGTAATTTGATGTATCACTTCATCTTAAATCAAAATTAATTCCTGTCTCAATTAATACATATTTCCTGTGTTATCCCCCCTGCAGGCCTGAAGGTATTGATGAGGCCGGCATTGAATTAAGGAGACGTCCCCATCGCCACCACTGCGGCCACCACCACAGACGTAACCACACACGCAGGAGCACCACCACCACCACCACTGCCAGCCCCGTTACCGTCGGTTTAATCTTCGGGAAATAGATTTTTATCAGGCAAATGACATTTATTTGAGTGTTTGTAAAAACTATCGGAGTATAGAGAGCAGTTAGTGGCAATTCTTAAAGATATTTTTCAAGATTCTATGAATCCATTCGTAAGACAATCCACAAAGAGCAGGATACCAAAATAAGTGTTGATGGCAGTTTTACATAAATATTATAAAACTTAAAATTGTAAAATTGCGAGCAATACAATACAGAGCATAAAGAATATTACGAATAACTATAGTTAAGAATATAAATAACGAGTAAAACCAGAAAATAAAGAAGATGAGAAATTAAAATTTCATCCAAAATACACATAACCAACATGAAAGACAGAAAGAACAGCAATAATAAAATTGCAAAAAAACACTCAATAACATGATAACAAAATCCAACTTTACAAGTAATATCAAAGTCAACAAAATATGAACAACACAGTATGCAATAAAGTCAGCAACACCCTCAACAATAACAACCAACATAGAAGAACACTAATTATTAACAATGAAGATTATTTGTCAACTAGTTAAAATCACTAAATAACATGACAATAAAAACAAAGATTGCTCACAGTCCAATTATTTTTTGCTATAAAAATCTCTATGTTTAATTGCATGTCAAAGTTTTGAGGCGATATACTTTTGTTAATATGTGAACAATAATATTGTTCAGATGAGGTGAAGATTTTTACTGATGACTTTGTTAAGAATATTAAAGAATAAAGAATATTATATAATCTGGTATATGGTTTCTACCAAAATATAATTCCCTGATAATCATAATATGTAGTTCAATTGATCATTATAACTCGCTCAGTTATTGATTAAATAATTTCAGATTTTATACCACGTTATTTGCTCCAACACCCTCCAATGGTACCCGTTGGTACAATGACACTTTATCTGGGTCTATACATTCCCTCTTGGAAGACATCTGGAAAACTCGAAAGGAGACATCTTAGGCCCTCACTCTAAACCCCCTACCCTCCAAGTGTAACAGTTTCCTCCAATTTATAAGCCATAAATCGAGTAAGCCGTTTTGGCTTACTCTATGGCGAGCTCAGCTTACTTGATTTACTTATAAATTGAGTAAGCTGAACTTACATGGAGTTCACACAATCAGTCCTGCAGACAGCATCCTCTTCGGTGCTTCTCCCGGAATTAATGTCATTAAAGAGAACTTGAGAAAAGGAGGTTACTGACCTATAGAAGGTGGAAGATAGGTTTGGCAACTTCGATATATTTTAACTGTCTCACAGTGTGTCTTTATCTTCCCAGACTAACCTACTCTTTAAAGTGTTCCATTCTACATCAGCCCAAAGTTTGAAGAGCATGACATCGTTTTGAAATCGATTTTATTAAAAGTTGTCAGCTATCCACCTAAGGACACTTAGTGAAAACAATAATATTTTATAAGTTTCAAAAGTGTTAAAGATCCTTCAACTTTTGTTTTCGGATATGGTGTATTGTATCATTTCAAGTGTTCGAGCTGTAATGTTCGATACATGAGGAATACCTCACAATACCTTAAGCACTATCTGTGAACCTACTAGAATATCTAACTGTACAGGATTTCCCCATAGGAAAGCTGCATCCTCTGCAAATCGAGGTCCCTTACAGTAATTTCATTATAGATTTAAACTTGAGCCTTTCAAATTCGAGTTTTCAATGATCGAAGTGTAGGAAATATTAACTACGCCTTTGTGGATTATAATAATAATTCATTGTATTGGGGGACAGATAGTCAGTGAATATAGTCATGTTAAATGAATGTCAAGCTTCCCACTAAGGATGAACTATTGACCCAGGCCAGGATACAACTCCACAATGGTGAGTCTCTAACTCAGGATTACCTGTTTACTGAAAAGGTAAACAGAGGCATTAGGTTATAGAAAACGCACTTAACCATTTCATTTCTCCCGGGTTTCGATCACGGAATTCCCGATCGTGAGACGAGAACTAAGCTGACAGCACTACCCTATATGACATGGATGAACGGGTGGATTTCTCCGGATACTCTTTCTTCTACGCGCTCCAGGAAAAGTATAAAAATTAAATTGAGTACCAGGTAAGTATTCCTGAGATTCTTTCAGATGAATCCAGCATCGAGCACACAACTGTTCGATGATCCTCCATTGACCCAGAGAGAAGATGTAAGACCTGGCGGACCGCTAGAAGCCGGAGTCAGGCAACAATTACTTCACTCTTGGAACTCCCAAGCTAGCGCCCTTGATCAATACACCACGACATGTTTAAAAAAAAATGCAACCTGGGATTCAACTGAATCCACGAGGAATTCCGAAACTTGGGTTGGGAGCCTCAGTACTCCAGTTAAATTACATCAAATTACAGGTCATTAAACTCTATATGACCCCTCAGGCCTCGGTTCGAATTCTAATGGGTCACAGAGTTTAAGTGAGTCTAAGCTACATATATATATTATATATATCCGTGAATGTGTGTGTATATTGGGATAACCGTGTCATTGACTTGGGCGTAAGTTTAGCGACACATGCGTCTCGTGTCATCGAATGACAGGTTAATTACCACCAACGTGCTGGGCCGGGAATATAAAGTCTGGCCGCCACTTAACTTGGTCCAAACCCTCTCAGCTCAACCGGCGTGCCTAGCAAGCTTCCTCTTCTCTACTAGGTCCACTCCTTCTACTCTATTAGCAAGCCACTCAAGATAAATCCACACAACTCCATCATGAGGTGAGCGCTCCTGTTAGGGGGCTGATCTGTTCGGTATAATGCTGACGTATCTACGGCTGAGCTAAGTCAGAGATACGTGTAGCTGAACCCAGCTAGTCTCACGGGTTGAGACGACCAGCGTAGTGTCGTCGAGGTTTAACGACCCCCACAGGTACAGCTTCGTGTTATCATATCTCTCACTCTCTCCTCTTACCTCTTCCCCACAGGTACAGCTTCGTGTTATCATATCTCTCACCCTCTCCTCTTAATACCCATCAGCATGGGAAATTGAAGGATGCTGGTCAGGTCTGTGACAATAATACGTGAAGTTTTACTAAGTTGAGCTTAACTAATAATTCATACAGTTTCATTTAGTAAACGAATTTACCATTTATATGATTAGTTTCAATTAGCTTTGCTGTGATAAGGATATGGGAAGTTATAGTTAGCTGATCTGAGCCAGTTACACGTGAAGTTGCAATGAGTTGATTTGTGCCAGTTAGTCTCATTAAGCTGAACCATGTCAAATGCACGTCCACTATCAATTATGATTCTCCGTGACGGTTACGCATGTAAGACGTAGAGAGGATATGAACGTGTATCAAGACCCGCATAACTTCCTGAGGTTATAAGGGACTTAATTATTGATAATTTAGTCTTTAAAATGAAGAGTAAATTGCGTAAGGACTACACAAGCCAATTGTACATGTCATTTATTTGTTTTTTTTTCATTTTAACTGGAAAGACTTATGACTAATAATTACACACATTGTGACTAAATTTTACCAGTTATATACATTATGCAAATCTGTTATCTGAACATGCGTAGTGAATGCCAATATCTGAAGTCAGTGATATTATGAACAGATAATGAAACTATCGACTCGGAAACCATCTCTGGCCCATTCATAACACTCCCTTAGGACCCTTCAATCATGGTGTAAAGCATAATTAGGGTTGGCCCCAAGACCTTGGCTTCCAACTTTGGACAGACGAACAAACACTGAGTCTATTATATCTATATACTGTAAAGATGTTTATATCTTTGCCGGTCTATCCAAAATTAGAGGACGGATGCTTGGGGCTAGTCTCACCCAACTTTGCAAGGGGGAATGGTCTGGGGTACAGGACAGACATAGGCTGGTCGAGGTTAGGTCTAACTTATATGCTTTAAGAAATGTCAGAATGTAACCCAACCCGCTAACCTGCGAGTTAATGGTCTAAAATGAAATCGGGTACGCGATTTCCGTAGGTTTTATCTCTTAGTCGAAAACGATGAACTGGATATCCTCAAAATGCATCCGGAGTCTGCCAGTGCAGACCGCTTATCACATGCCTCTGTATGACTAATCATCCTGTGTGATGGGGATTTCTTAGCATCACCTAGTTAGCTTTTTTGACACTGTACTCCACTTCATATAGTCTAGGGTAGCTGCACTAATGCAGATGTACCTAATATGTTAATAAAAAAAAAATGAACGGAATTCATTCTGCATGGTTACTGTGATGAAAATAGTCAGTTGGTAAATAGCTTGGGAAAATTAACATAAATATTCTAGAGAGAGAGTGAGAGATTATATATTACTAGTCACTTATACAGTACTAAAACTTGCGGAGTTATCTAGGGTTGTTAAATGAGGAATTGAATTGGGATACTCAACGAGTGAGAAAACGTTGACAGGGTTATCTTACCTCTCCCCACAGGTACAGCTTCGTGTTATCATGTCTCTCACCCTCTCCCCTTTTACCTCTCCCCCACATGTACAGCTTCGTGTTATCATGACTCTCATCCACTCCTCTCACCCCTCCCCCAAAGGTACAGCTTCGTATTATCATATCTCTCACCCCTCTCTTCTCACCTCTCCCCCACAGGTACAGCTTCGTGTTGCTGGGTCTCCTGGTCCTTGTCTGTGCTGTCTCGGGCAACGCCCTAGAAAACCAGGAAACTGCCAATGATCATCCTGGAATGGTCATCTTTGGAGACTTAAGACAGGATAAGTACGAAATCTTAGAACTGCTCTGTTGAGACCGTTTACCGTTATATGCTCAGTGGCAAGTGGTCTATAGATTGATGTGGTCGGTTGAAAGGATGATTAATTGGTTGAGAAGGAGGATGAGTGCCCGTTTGAGCTTTTAATTAAGTAGACAATTGGAAATAGTGATGAAGTCACCGGTTGAGAGTATTGCTGATGAGTCCGGTTGAGAGGAGTCGTTATGGCAAGGCGAAAGTAGGACTCTTTAGTGGACCAAAGTCATTCTATCTCGGTCTCTCTCCTGCGTGAACCTTGAGCTTCTGACCGACACACTGTGTTGCTTATTTGTGTCCTACTTAGACGGTAGATGATTGTTGATAACTCGTGTGTTGATTTCAGTGAGATTATGTCCAGTGTCTTCAGAGGAAATTGAATGTTTTTTTTTTTTTAACTTTGAAAATGTTCCAGTGGTTTGTCTATTCAACAATGATGACATTTCCTCTCATTTTCTGGAAGCTGAAAGTCTATTTTCCATAGACGTCGGTATCAAAGCCTGATGTAGTGCAGGTCTCTTCATCTATTATATTACCCAATAGTGGGAACAGGAAGCCTCGACTTTAGAACATTAAAATTAAGACAACTAAAAAAGATCTGAGTGTTGACCTATACAAGGCAGCTCGAATTGCTATCTACTCAAATTCATTCATATATTTGTCTAACCTACACTTGAAACAATCAAGTGGTCCAACGTCTACAATGTAAACAGGGAAATTGTTCCATAGACTAATTAACTTATTTCCAAGCCATTATTTACCCAGGTTTTCCTGAAACAAAACTTATCCAATTTAAATGCATTGTTCTGTGTTCTATTTTGTGTTGATATATTTAATATCTTTATATTAATCTCCATTGTTATATTCCTTTTATCCATTCGTGTACTTCAATCACGTTACTCCTTACTCTTTGCCTTTTCTAGATAAAGTAATTTTTTTATCTCTTTAGATATGAAACTTTTCTAATCACTGCAATTAATTTTATCATCCATCGCTGAGAGCGTTCAAGTGAATTAATGTCCATTCTATAGTATGGCGACCAAAACTGAACAGCAAAATCTAAATGAGGCCTGATAAAAACATAGTCCCCCTTTCCACCCTCCCTGAGAGGGCCAAGATATAAGCCTAAAGCATATATGAATTATTATCGGTTTCCTAACTTATTTCCTCCTACTTACCTCTATTTATACTACCTCTTACTTTCCTTTGAAATAACTAAGCCTTTATCCTTCTTTTAGATAGCTACTCCAGTACCACGGAGTACCTCTGCCTTCCTAATCACTCTTTCGTAAGGCACAGTATACAAAGTTAAACTATAATTAAGGTTCTAAACGTCTCATTGTTTTCCACGGTCAAGTGCTTGCAATATGTTTGTCTTTCAAAATGTAAAAGAATAACTTTTGTGATTATCGAATCAGGCAATAAATAAGTAATTAATAATTTATTCGCTAATGTATGGAAACACCTACTTGTCATTCGATAAATATTATTACTGTTGGTTGACTTGTTCATTCTCATGTGTTTCTTGTGTCTTAACATAGAATATAATAATTCCCTGCCTTTTAATATATATTTTTTGTAACTTTTGCAGCCCCTATACCAGCTCTTTTAGCAGTGAAGAGAGCAGTGAGGAGAGCAGTGATGAGAGCAGGGAATAGAGGTCAGACGACAGCAGCAATGAGAGTGGTCCACATACAAGGAGCACCCGTCCTACTAGACCAAGGAGGACAACCACAAGCACCACCACAGCTGCTGGCAAACAGATGCTAACAGAGGTCTTCAAACAGATGCCAGTAGATGTCTTCAAACAGATGCCAGTAGATGTCTTCAAACAGATGCCAGTAGATGTCTTCAAACAGATGCCAGTAGATGTCTTCAAACAGATGCCAGTAGATGTCTTCAAACAGATGCCAGCAGATGTCTTCAAACAGATGCCAGTAGATGTCTTCAAACAGATGCCAGTAGATGTCTTCAAACAGATGCCAGTAGACGTCTTCAAACAGATGCCAGTAGACGTCTTCAAACAGATGCCAGTAGATGTCTTCAAACAGATGCCAACAGAGGTCTTCAAACAGATGCCAGTAGATGTCTTCAAACAGATGCCAGTAGATGTCTTCAAACAGATGCCAACAGATGTCTTCAAACAGATGCCAGCAGATGTCTTCAAACAGATGCCAGTAGATGTCTTCAAACAGATGCCAACAGATGTCTTCAAACAGATGCCAGTAGATGTCTTCAAACAGATGCCAGTAGATGTCTTCAAACAGATGCCAGTAGATGTCTTCAAACAGATGCCAGCAGATGTCTTCAAACAGATGCCAGCAGATGTCTTCAAACAGATGCCAGTAGATGTCTTCAAACAGATGCCAGCAGATGCAAATAAATGTCTTATAAGAACATGAACTGTACTGTAATGCGGCCTTAATAAACGGAAACATAAAAATATTGTATCAATTCAGAAAAGTTCCTCCACATCTGAAGAACTATTTCAGCAGGGTTCGAACCTTTTTCAGAGTTCATTAAGTACAATTAAGAGACCAGCCTCTCCAAACCGTCCTCTCGAATAGTTCATCACATTTTTCACTTATAAATCACCTAAAACCAAAAACCTATTTAGTAAAAATCATAGCGGCTTGCAAAATTTACCTGATGTCCCGTTTTCCATTCGTGGTTCTACAGTTAGGTTCGGGCAATTTATAGCACATTAATTTAGTGACGCTGAGAACGCTGGAGAGAACGGGCTGCTCTCTCACCTCGATCATGGCAGTCTAGTCGTCATCTACGACAAAGTTAACGAGCTCTAAAACATTAAGGACGACCTCGCAACTCGTAAAGTAGGAAGTCGTAAATTCGTAAGCCCTTGGAGCTCGTAATCGTGGTAATATATACACCTGAACCGCCATGATTAAGGTAAAACAGGCAACTCTCCTGTGTGTGAAATGTCTAAAAGCAATTGGTTTGTATGTGTTGTGAGCATGTTGACTCCACCAGGCAGGTGTCGACCCAAGGATTTATCCTTGGGTCGAAGCAGTTTTAGGGGTCGAATCTTGGGTCGAAGATTTATCCTTGGGTTATACTGGGCAGCCTTTCTTTATTTCGTATATTTTCAATAACACACGTTGTCGTTTATATATTTAATGCTAACCAGCACGTATGCATGGCCAGGTGTCCTTCGTGGACGGATTTATTGATGCGTTTGACTGCATGTGATGTTGTGAATTACTGAGCACTCAATCACAGGAGCTGATTGAGGTGGTTGAAGTATGCGCACGTCGGAGTGTCTGATTTGAAGGGTTTTGAGAGCATTAGGTTGAGAGTTGACCTGATCTGGATTTAAAGTTGGGACACACACACATGCACACAGTTGAGGGTCTGGTAGCTGAGCGGACAGCGCTCTGGACTCGTAATCCTAGGGTCCGAGTTCGATCTCCGATGATGGCAGAAACAAAATAGGCAGAGTTTCTTTCACCCTGATGCGCCTGTTACCTAGCAGTAAATAGGGACCTGGGAGTTAGACAGCTGTTACGGGCTGCTTCCTGGGTGTGTGGAAAAAAAGTTAGTAATAGTTGATTGATTGACAGTTTAGAGGCAGGCCGAAAGAGCAGAGCTTAACCCCGGCAAGCTCAACAAGGTGAATACAACTAGGTGAATACACACACACACACACACACCCGAGTGGACAGCACTCTGGGTTATTACTCCTTAGGAACCTTGATCGATTCCCGGTAGAGGCAGAAACAAATGAACAGAGTTTTCTTTAACTGATGCCTCTATTCACCTAGCAGTAAAGAGGTACCTGGGAGTTAAACAGCTGCTCCGGGCTGTATCCTGAGGAGGTGTGTGTGTGAGAGAGAGAAATTATGTAGAAAATAGGATAGAGGAAAAATAGGTCGGGAATCAGTACATTAAACAACAGACGGTTAGAAAGGCGGGGTCCAAGAGCTACCAGGTCGATCCTGTAAACATAGGTACCTGACAATGAGCACTTGCTACTGCTTAAGGACGCCTTTAAGCACAGTTCCTGCTAAGTTTCACTTTCGAGGTGGAGAATTAAGGTAATTGCCTTTCCTAGATATAACAATCTCCTAGCCATAATAAAAAAGAAAGCATCTATACTCCACAAAGTACTCAAAAAAACAAAACACAATAACCACTCATTTCCAAAGGGGGGGGGGAGAAATTGACCTCCCAAATTTCTGACTCAGTGAGTGTGAAAATCAGGTCAAGTTTGGCTGGTTTGTCATTGCCTCTGACTCGTGTGGGTCAGGGACAGTAGCAGTTACATAGGCAGCATGGGCATTGATAGAGTTGTAGTTGTTCCACAGTTGTTTGTAATATGGAGGTGGGGGGGGGGGGGGTGCGGTGGTGTTTATGTAGTGTGTGGATTGTGGTGGTAGTTGCACATGTGGTGGGGTGAGGGGGTGTGATAGAAGTTCCACATGTGGTGGGGTGAGGGGGTGTGATAGAAGTTCCACATGTGGTGGGGTGAGTTGGAGTGATAGAAGTTCCACATGTGGTGGGGTGAGGGGGTGTGATAGAAGTTCCACATGTGGTGGGGTGAGGGGGTGTGATAGAAGTTCCACATGTGGTGGGGTGAGGGGGTGTGATAGAAGTTCCACATGTGGTGGGGTGAGGGGGTGTGATAGAAGTTCCACATGTGGTGGGGTGAGGGGGTGTGATAGAAGTTCCACATGTGGTGGGGTGAGGGGGTGTGATAGAAGTTCCACATGTGGTGGGGTGAGGGGGTGTGATAGAAGTTCCACATGTGGTGGGGTGAGGGGGTGTGATAGAAGTTCCACATGTGGTGGGGTGAGGGGGTGTGATAGAAGTTCCACATGTGGTGAGGCGTGGCAGTGAAGTGATAGTTGAAGACGAAATTTTATAATTTGATGCACAAACAGTAGCAGTTCAAGACGCTTGTTTAAGCAATAAATAAAAAAACACAAAAGATAAGTTATCAGCGGTATTCGCGTAAAAAAAAAGATAGCCATGCGAGTGTTTATTTACACCCTACAATACCATATGCATTCACGTATATATACACACGACCATGCATACGCATATGTAAGTACGCACGACCATGCATACGCATATGTGTGTAAGTACGCACAACACCGCCTTGCTTGTGGATGTGCGCGCATTGCGACAGAGGAACAACACATCTCTTGTCTTCAAAGGTCACTTGAATCATCCACAGGCGTCGGCCTGGGGGTATATAATGGCTGCTTTGTGGTGGAGATTGATTCACTCCCTACCCTCGGTCCTCCTGGCATCACTTGCAAGTCTACTGCCGTCAAAAGCTCCGCACACAACTCCATCATGAGGTGAGGAGCGCCTCTTGTTAAAGCTGATCTGATCGGCATAATACTGACGTGTATATAGCTAAGTCAGGGATACGAGTAAGCTGAACGAAGCTGAACCGAGCTGATCTCGCGGGTATTTAGTAGCATGTTGATCATTTATATGACAATTATACGTAAAGTTTTGCGTGTTATACATGCCGTTTGACTAAATTAAGCTTTACCAATTTGCGGTTTCAGCAAGTTTAGTTTTGCCAATTATACATACAGTTGTACTAAGCTGGGTTAGCTGAATTATTTGCGATTGCGATTAATATCCAGTGTCTCACATTCGTTTTAAATAACTATAATCTTAAAATTATCTAAGGTTAACATTTTCCTACAAAATTGACTTAACTAATGGTACTTTCAGGAATACAAACAATGAAAAACTTGGCACTGACAAAACAAAATATATTTATTTTGCCAAGCATTGGAGCCACATATAAATACAACGTAGATATTCAGCTAATTCTCCTAAAATGATTGTACTTATAGCAATTATTTAGTCCAACGTACAAATATGAACTGTTGGACCGAAAAAGTTCGCGTTTTGTATTATGGAATACATAATACATGGAATACTTCAATACATTCTAATCAATTGGAGAACTAAATAACTAAGCAATACCAGGCATAATATTTAACCTATATATATGTTATATAAAAGTTCCAGGCGTGTTTAAATTAGTTTATTGTGAAAAATTGTGAAAAAAAATATTTTTCACATTTTTAGTAACAAAAATTTCACAAAAATGTGAAGTTCATTGGCTGTAACAATCTATTTCTTTACGTTGGGGCAATTAACTGTTGTGAGTACTGTAAGTTTAGGAGAATAGATCCATATATTATCCAGTAACACAAAAACGTCAGTTTTTGTGTTACTGGATAACTGTCATTGTGTTGTTAGCCATAGAATGAATTAATTGCTTCACATAACAACCACAGTTGAGCTTATATTGGCATTTAAGACTACGTCAGAGATACCAGGAACTCTCACATACCACAGAGAGCGCGTAGTTAATTTGAGCATAAACACGTCTCAACTGCTTACAAGGATGGTTGATGTGACGACATTGCTTCGAGGGCACATGACGACAAGGTTTAATCTCATCTTCATCAACACTTAACTCTTACCCTCTCCCCCTTCTCTTACAATGTCTCAACAGGTACAGCTTAGTGATATCATATGTCTCACCCTCTCCTCTACCCCACAGGTACAGCTTAGTGTTATCATATGTCTCACCCTCTCTTCTACCCCACAGGTACAGCTTAGTGTTATCATATGTCTCACCCTCTCCTCTACCCCACAGGTACAGCTTGGTGTTATCATATGTCTCACCCTCTCCTCTACCCCACAGGTACAGCTTAGTGTTATCATATGTCTCACCCTCTCCTCTACCCCACAGGTACAGCTTAGTGTTATCATATGTCTCACCCTCTCTTCTACCCCACAGGTACAGCTTAGTGTTATCATATGTCTCACCCTCTCCTCTACCCCACAGGTACAGCTTCGTGTTATCATCGTCTCTCTCATCCTCTCCTCTCATCTCTCCTCCACAGGTACAGCTTCATGCTACTACTATGTCTACTGGCCGTTGCCTGTGTCGTCTCAGGATACAATCAGCCAATTGAAAATACTCAAGATTTGGGAGCCCGGAATCCCGATCGACAGAACAGGTGAGGAGACTGAAACTCTACATTTGAGAGCGTTACTAATGTGGTTGTTAACATTTGATTATATGTGGTATTGATTGATGACTAAGGGAATGGATGAATATTGTTTCACATGATTAGTTATTCATGTCTTAGCATCCAGTTCATAAGTATTTGACTAACTGGATGTTTGACTATGTCTGGACATTTTCGTTTGCCAGTCCTTCATTACCTTAGTCTCTCAATATATCTCCCACGCAGACATAATATCTTTGGAAACAAAAGTCTTTCTAAGCTTTGATAACCGAATCCAGCTGACGAATTAATTCAGAAAACGCATCTTTCTTATAAAATATTTTTACTTTCCAATTTTTATGGAATATGTATACAATTAAATGCATATCATCAACAACGTTTTCATTAAAACGAAAACGTAAAAATCGTTCTGCCTATTAGGCAAATCGGGTCTTGCTTACTAGGGCAAGTAGGTAGTTACGACACACACACGTGTGAAATAACATGTGTGACACATATATATATATATATATATATATATATATATATATATATATATATATATATATATATATATATATATATATATATATATATATATGTTTGTGTGTGTGTATTTATTTACTATTTAGAATTTATTTACTATTTCCATCATTTATTTACATTAAAGGCAACCTATTTACCTCTATTATGTCGACTACATATATATTTCTCTCTAATATACTCACCCACACACATCCCCAGGAAGCATGTGTATGCGTGTGTGAACTCACCTAGTTGTGCTTGCTGGGGGGGGGGGTGTTGAGCTCTGGCTTTTTCGGCCCGCGAGTGTGTGTGTGTGTGTGTGTGTGTGTGTGTGTGTGTGTGTGTGTGTGTGTGTGTGTGCGTGTGTGTGTGTGTGTGTGTGTTCCTCGAAAAAAACTATTTTATTATGATTACCTTCCTCTCTTTTAACATATTTCTGCGCTTCTTAACATAAAACACTGCAATTTAACGGGTCCCTTTTTTGTTTTTAATCTAATTTTTCTAACTGCAGAGGATCTGTCAGGTTCTTGAGCAGTGAAGAGAGCAGCGAGGAGAGCAGTGAAGAGCACGGGCATGGCAGAGCTAACTATCGCAACAAACGGTGAAGGCATCACAGACAATGAATGCGTTCTACCGGATGCAGAACGACAATCACTGCTTTCACCTACAGCTTGAATATAGATTCGGCGAAATAACTATGAGGAAATTCGCTTTCTGCACGACTACCATCAAATATCTGCACATGGCAACACTGAAAAATATTGTTCAATATAAACTTAGTATAACTGAAGCACAAACAGAAAACTCGTACGAAGAAAAATAGGTGTTATTGTATTTAAAAATAATCCTTAAAAACAAAGAATTTTATGGAAAGGAATATGCAATGATAACATAAAATAAGTTCAGACAACTAAAATTTATATTATAAATTAATATAATAACACCGAAACCCCCAAGAAAGTCAGACAGATCAATTAACATCAACTGTTTTAATTAAATAATCAAAATCATCAATAAACGTGCATTTTTTATACGCCAAAAATTTTAATATTTGTGCATAATCTAACTGAAAAGAAGTATTTTCTAGCAACATGAAATACAATATAACTTTGCCTATGAAACAAATTTCTTTCTAATAAATTGTAGTGTTAAACTTTGTATCAATTCAGAAATGTTCCTCCACAATTATTTAGTGACTTTGGCTGGGTTCGAACACGGAATTGAGCACCGATCCGTGCTAGTTCGCCCCGGTTCACCCAGCAAATGGGGGACCTAGGTGTGAATCAAACAGTGGGTTGGGTTTCTGGAGAAACTAGTTGAATTAGACTGAAATATATATATATACTGCTGTGGCTCAGCAACGCCTTGCGTTGCTGAGCCACTGTATTTTCAGACTGTATTTTACTGGGCAGACTGTATTTTCTTAAATTGTCAGAAAACTTTTGACACAATACCCCATGAAAGGTTGGTTTCAAAAGTTGGAGAAACGGGTGGGAGTAAAGGATAAGGTGCTCCAGTAGATAAGGAAGAATCTAAGCAACAGGAAACATCGAGTAACTGTGAGGGGGGAGACATTACAGTGGCAAGATGTCACCAGGGAAGTCCCACAGGGCTTTGTACTTGGGCCCATCCTGTTTCTGATATATGTAAACGATCTTTCAGAGAGTATAGACTCACTCCTCTCAATGTTTTCTTATGATTCAAAAAATTATGAGAAAAATCAGGACAGATGGAGATAGACAGAGACTACAGGATGACCAGGACAAACTGGAGGAATGGTCTAGAAAATGGCTACAAATTTTTAACGCAGGAAAGTGTAAAGCAATGAAATTAGGTGAAGGAAGCAGGAGGCTGAACACAAGGTACCATCTGGGAGGTGAAATCATGCAAGAGTCAAATAAAGATAAAGATCTGGGAAGTTGATATCACACCGAACCTGTCCCCATAAGCCCACTTCAAAAGGATATCATCAGCGTCATATGCTAGATTGGCCAACATAAGAACTGCCTTTAGAAACTTGTGAAAGGAATCATTCAGAACCTTGTATACCTCTTATATCAGACCAATCCCGGAGTATACAGCTCCAGCCTGGAGTCCATACCTCGTTAAACACAAGACAAAGTTAGAAAAGATTCAGAGTTATGCCACCAGACTTGTTCCAGAACTGAGAGGTATGAGCTACGAGGAAAGGCTACGAGACCCAAACCAAACGTCCCTGGAAGACAGAAGAGTAAAGAGAGAATTGCTCTTTTAGCCGTGAAATATGCATATTATAGGCATATCTTTCACGATGTGCGTTTTTGAGATAATAAGGAGAACATTCCCTAAGCTAAAGCGAAGGAGGAATTGATCCATAATTAATAACATGTACACACTTTTCTATTAAATATTTATCACGAAACACCGGCTAATTACCAGTATGTTGTTAATTAGAGTAAATCGAGGTCGAACGTGCATATACACGCAGAACGTGAGCCATATATAACTGGGCTGTGCTGCACCTTATCTCACTAGGACCCTCTGCTACGACCAGCCTCACTAGCACTCTCTGCTACCACCTACCTCACTTGCGCCTCCTACTGCCCTCTGGTGTCATCTGGAGGTACTACACCATGAGGTGAGTTAACCCACACTCATGATGGGGCTAACTTGTTACTTTAACACTTAGTAATGTAGTGCTGAATTGTGTATATATGAGCAATGGTTCTAATTAAAGAGTGGTTGATGAGTAATCAACCAATATATACATCTATACATCATAGACTTTATATATATATATATATATATATATATATATATATATATATATATATATATATATATATATATATATATATATGTGTGTGTTTATGTTCTATTAAATGTGATTGCATATTCAGTATTCCGTGTTGATTATTTTATTGTTTTGGACTTCTATCCTTCTAACGAGTGATTTTGTATCTTGGTTAAACTGAAAGATGATTTCTCCAAATGTCGTATTTGTTCAAAGTTGACAAAAAGTACAAAGATTAACTGAATAATGCAGCATAACCTTTAAGGTTTCAACCTTCAAGTTTCGAACATTCAAGCCTTATCCTCAAGTGAGAAATGAGAAGATGTGAGAAAACATTTAATAATGAAACCTGGAAAGTCAGTTGCGTACACAATTATATCAGGTGATTGGCCAAAGAAAACAGAAATAAAATAATGAAAAAGTAAGGTTATTGAAAAACTAGGCGCACAAATTTAAGTCAGGAGATTAGGTAATGAAAGTTCAGGTGACTTGTAGTGGGCATGGCGTTTTGGGCAGTAATGTCATTGTTAGCTTGTTGGCATTCAGGTCTTACTCCTACTTAAATGGTTGAGAAAAGTGAATAGCTGTTATTTGAGTGTTTGTGACAGGTTGTTCTGCGTTTATGAGAAAGACTTCAAGAATTTGTAATCTTCTTATGTCTTGGGCTTTGTCTAATATATAAGTGCTTCTATTCAGCATGTCTCTTGTTATATGTCATGGGATTCTTTCATGTGAATTTTAGAAGCACTTGATTGCAGATGAGAGGTTAAGTGCCTTGTGAGATTGCTGGATGTCATACCTATGTACTTATAACGAAGGGTTGAATCCTCCAGTGGGGCAGTTGGACATATATATCACGTTCGACTGTTGCAAAGGCTTCTCAGATGGTTCTGGCCTGTTTTTAACGAGGTTAGGGTCGTTTTTGTTTTATTATATATGATGAAATCTATGCTTGGGTTTGAGGTTGTGCTTTTTACTCCTTAAAGGAATATTTATTTTCTCTCTCTTGTATTCACTATGCATCGTAGATTTGTAATATGATTTTGGTGGTGTTAAAGTTTCTGTTATTGGTTAAGGATGGTTCTATCTGAGCAAGTGTTGATTTACAGTGCTATTGACCTCGAGGTACAGCTTCGTGTTATCATGTCTCTCACACTCTCTTGGCTCTCCCCCACAGGTACAGCTTCATGTTATCGTATCTCTCACCCTCTCCTCTCACCTCTCCCCCACAGGTACCGCTTCGTGTTTTTGGGTCTTCTGGCCTTCGTGTGTACCACTTCAGGCTACGTGCTACAAGACGACGTTCTCAACCATCAGAAAACCTTTCCAGAAACAGTCGTTTTCAAAGACGGTGAAGAGAACGGGTACATAACTTTTGATATGTCCGATTGAAAGTGGGCCTGAGTAATGACCTATTGTCCTAAGTTTGTGTAATTGGGTCAGAGTCGCGTGCACATATGCCGCCCTTTGGGTGAGCGAGCACATAACCGTTTGTTGAGTGTGCGTGCACTGGAAAATTCGTTGAGTGTGCTTGTTCTGGGCCGTTTTCGTAGTGTGCGTGTGCATAATAGATGATTGAACGCGCTTGCATGACATGTTATATTTATTATCTACCAATTAATAATCACCAGCGCATAACTTTGAATTCTAACAAATGAGAAAAACTTGATAGGTGCATTTTAAGGCGGACAAATGTCGGGTTCTGAGCCATGGAGTAACTGATGTGCTACCTCTCGTCCCACTTAAGGTAGGCAACACTGCAATGCTGGAAAGTGTTCAGAGATCTTTTACCGCTCAAATAAGAATTAACGAAGCACTTAAAAAGCTGACATCGACTCGAGCTGTATTCCTTGGGATGGAAACGAGAGATATATTCTATAATGTTCACATGGGGCATAATGGAAACCTCAGATTTTAAACCTGCTAAATAAAGATACGTTTTCTAAAGGGAGAGATATGGTTGGAAACGTAAGATATATAAAATTAAAAGTAAAACTCCCATAAGCTCAATTAAACAGAGTAAAAATTAGAGTCCCGGGGCTCTTAAATCTCTTCCCGGGGCTCTTAAATCTCTTGCAATATAATAGGAAATATCGTTGGAGCAAAAGTGAAGGTTTACAAGTGAAAGTGTTAACAAGAAAACTTAACAAGTGTAAAGTTTTCAAGTGAAAACTTATTAAGTTTCTGTTGGAGTTAGCGGATCTGCCTGGCTGTGATGGTAAAGTAGGCCTTCGTACTACGAAGGCCTACCTCCACATAGACCAGACAATAACCATGGAAGGCTGGCCACAGAGCAGACATTGAATGTGAAGGAACTCCCAAAATCCATCAACCGGTAGTATTAATAGAACTTAAAAATACACACATTTTAGATCATGTGAGAAACAATTTAAACGATTTGGTTAAGCCGATATGCAAAAAATAAATAAGTAAATTGTGACTATATCATGGCCCCCAAAAATTCTGCATGTGTCTGTTATTCTGTTTGTTTCTACGTATTTTTCAATACCTCTAATTCGTGCTCCTGTGATTTTTTCCTTCACACACTTCTTGTTTATTCCTTGAAGGAGTCTTACCGATGGAACCGGAACCGAAGCAGGTGGAACCGTCACTGAAGCAGGTGTAACCGTCACTGAAGCAGGTGTAACCGTCACTGAAGCAGGTGTAACCGTCACTGAAGCAGGTGTAACCGGAACAGGAGCAGGTGTAACCGTCACTGAAGCAGGTGAAACCGAAACAGGAGCAGGTGTAACCGTCACTGAAGCAGGTGAAACCGAAACAGGAGCAGGTGTAACCGTCACTGAAGCAGGTGAAACCGAAACAGGAGCAGGTGTAACCGTCACTGAAGCAGGTGAAACCGAAACAGGAGCAGGTGTAACCGTCACTGAAGCAGGTGAAACCGAAACAGGAGCAGGTGTAACCGTCACTGAAGCAGGTGGACACGAAACCGGAGCAGGTTCCACACCGAAGACCACTAGGAGAACTACACTGAAGACCACTAAGAGAACCACACCGAAGACCACTAAAAGAACCACACCGAAAACCACTAAGAGAACCACACCGAAGACCACTAAGAGAACCACACCGAAGACCACTAAGAGAACCACACCGAAGACCACTAAGAGAACCACACCGAAGACCACTAAAAGAACTACACCGAAGACCCCTAAAAGAACCACACCGAAGACCCCTATTAGAACTAGACCGAGGACCCCTATTAGAACTAGACCGAGGACCCCTATTAGAACTAGACCGAGGACCCCTATTAGAACTAGACCGAGGACCCCTATTAGAACTAGACCGAGGACCCCTATTAGAACTAGACCGAGGACCCCTATTAGAACTAGACCGAGGACCCCTATTAGAACTAGACCGAGGAC